AATATCTTTTTCTAAAAATGCAGTGTCTCCCTGTTCGTGCTCATGCAGCTGCAGAAATCACTCTCTAGTTTGTAACTAAGGCCAGATTGTTTCTGCCTCTTAATCACTCCTTTGGCTTAATTTCTGCATCATATCAAAAAGAAGCTTCTTGTCTTTAGTTGTATGGCCTGTAACAACCTATTTCCAGCCTTTTTTCCTCTGGTATTCTCCAGAGACATATCAACTCATCCTTTCTATCTGCAGGTGTCTATGTTCAATCTTCAAGCACTTAACGTTCCCTTTTTGTGCTGTCTTTGTCCTTTCCTCAGAAGTATCCCATTAAACTTCCCTCAAAGTCCCTCCAGATCGTCTTTCAAGTTCTTCCTTAACCTTTTCCTTTGCTGGACTGTGTACAGACTCCTTGTCAACAGTAAAAGAGTTAGAGTGCTGAGACCACAGTTTTCCTTGCCAATCAGTTTTCTTTGATTGCTTCTTTGTGTTTCCTATCTATACCCAAGTTGGTACTGCTTGTATTAGATTGTAAGCAAGTGCAGTTGGGCCCTTCTTTGAATTCTGTGTTAGTTCAATAGCCAGCATAACTGTTCCACAGTCTGAGCAACCAGGATCTGTGGTGGTATAAGCAAAAAACATGTATATACTAGTAATAAGGTAACGAGAAGTTAGAAAGTGGAATCACATGTAGTATGAGCTCCTCCCTTGCTCCTCTTCCTTCAGGTTTGCTATGTTTTAAATTTTTTATGCAATAGAAGACAGTAAATGAGGAGGTTTCAGAATCGAGTAGAGGAGCTGACGTTTCCTTTCAGCTGCTGAAGTGTTTCCCTGTGATCTACTCAGCAGTGATGGCATTTTCAGCAGAGAAGCCTCTGTGGGCACCTCTGTATGTCCCCCCAAGGTAAGACAAACATCTGGCAGCCAGACTAGGCTGAAGGAAGGTAGTGGCCAAGGTTATGAACCTCTTTCATGCAAAAATAAAGGACTCCAGCCTCCCAGGCTTGCTGCCAACATAACACCTTCTGGTTTTCCTGAAATGATCTTGATAAAAGGACCTAAAAATGGCTGAAGGGGCAAAAGAAGAATGTTGAAATGATATAGTTTCATCTCCATACAGTTTAGTACTAATTTTGTCCTTTGTCTTTAAGCTGCCTTTTAAGTGCTGTTTGTCTCTGTGGGAAGCAAATGGGTCACGTTGTTCTATGTTTCTACTGTAATACACTGCCTGCTATTTTTCTCTTAGATTATTTGTGTAATCTTTTTTGTGCAATCTGTTTGTTCGTGTGTCTTGCAAGCTTTGCCTTTGCTACTTCTTTCCCAATAAGCAGTGCAGCTTGTTCTGTGTTCACTCTTGGGTATTCTGCACACAGCAGACTGGGTTATTTCAACCAGTGTGAAAATATTAAAATGGGGAACATGTGTGGGCACTTAATTGTGGTGAGCCCAACCACAAATACCTTCGCCGTTGGTAATTGGCACACAGGAAAAGCAGACCTTTGTTTTGTTTTTATCAGACATAATGGTAGATACATTGTTTTTAGTGGGGTTTTTTTGGTATTCTAAGGAAATGAGGCTTGTGCAATCGCATTGCCTGGGTGCATGTGCCTGTCTGCTTGTCAGTCCCTCCCTCACCAACACCACTTGAAGCTAAGAGCCATTTTCAGCTGAATTGGGGTGAAGTGCAGGAGTTAGGGGAAATGACCAGTTTTTACAGAAGGCTTGTGAGTTCCCAGATTGCACCAAGGTCTACAGAAGGTGCAGTCTCTAATGGCCACATCGCTGCAAGCCAGATCAGTTCTCTGTTTGCTTACATGCCTTTACGTGGATCCAGCCACCTAACTGTAAGCTCCCAGATCTGAATAGTTTGGCTTACTTGTTTTTACCCTTCAGGCGAGTGAGTCAGTTGGGGGTGTTGCTAAGGCACAGAGCTTGTGTTTTGATTCTCACTGGAGTGGCCATGTCTCATGAAAAACATCGTTTGCTTCAGGCCACAGTGTTAAAATTTGCATATAAACTTATGAAAAAGGAAGCTTTCTTTAAGCTTTCCCGTGCAAGAGTTTATAGGAGCATTTCTGTCTGTGTACGTAATAGCAGAAGCTGGACTTGTCATAAATGGAGACAGGTTAAGTCTGCCACTGCCTGAATAGGAATCTTCTGTGGAAAAACCCAGAAAGAGGAAGGAAAGTCTAAGGAAATACCATCTGCAAGGGGAGAGGTTAGCCAAGACTTCTTTTGTGCTGCTCTTCGGTTTGTACCTGGTCACCAGCAGTGTAGTTGGGGAATGCCTCAGAGCTTGCAGGAATGTAGCCTCAGGGCACCTCTGAGAGGCAGAGAAGATGTCTTTATGCCCTTTGCTGGAAGAGAGGCCAGAGGTACAAAGGCATCAAGTGATTTGCCAGAGATTACAAGAGCATATATCTGAGTTAGGAAACAGACCCGAGTCTCCTGACACAAGAAGTACAGCCAGAAGTATGGTCTACATACAGACAGCTTCTCCAGCAAATGGAGAAACACCTTGGTCAAAGAGGAAGATAAATAAATGTTGAAGTATAGAAGAGCTGGCTAAATTATGAATGTGAGAAGAGGAGGAGGGGAAGAAAAGATTCCCACATGTTCTGCTCAGATGTTAACAAAGAAAGCTGAGAAGTGTTTGCATACACACTACATTATTCCATGTCCAAATGCCTCATAAAAATAATACCGGATGATCACAGAATGGCACACCAGGGAAAATAAATTCTTCAGTGGAATATTCCCCCTGGAAAAACACTGTGTAAAGTAATACACTAATGGCTTTCAATTTCATGTTTTATATATAGAGATATTAACTGCTCCCCAGACGTCTCTTCATATTACAGCCCAGCTACACAAGCAGTTTGGAGAAGGCCCCAGAGCACGCTCAGTCTTGTCTGCACCCAGGACCAAGCAGTGCTCTCTTGTTGTACGTGCAGCTCCTTTGGTGTCTACAGTAGGTTTCTTCTGCTTCCTTCCCAGAGCAGTGCTGTTCCTGTGGTTCTCTCCAGTGGGATATTTTTTTTTTCCTCCCTAGTCCTCATGGTTTTTTCCATTCTTCCTTCATGCTCTGTAGCCTCACCACCATGCTGGGAACCCTGCATTCCTTCTCTGCTCGTAAAAAAGGAGTCCTCACAAAAATCGTTACAGTGGAGTGATTAAAGCACAACAGTGTCAATTGGAACGCTAATGGCAAATACTAAAGAAAGTTAAGTTTAAAAACAATACTGTTAATTCCTTTTTAGGGGTTTTCCATGCTTGTCTGGATTTATCTGGTGACTTGTTTCTGCATGGCTCAGACCGGGAGCTGTTTGAGTCAGGAACTGTCTGTCCTGTATAATGCCAACTACGGCTATGCCGCTGTAGCAAATCAGAATGATCTGGGTTCTTTTCCAAGCTTTCCTAATATATCTCAAATGGGTATATATATCATCCTGCCGCATCCTGAGGGATCCAAAAGTAGCTTACGGGCTTTGTTCCCTGAGCGTAGCCTATTGGAGTCTGGGACAGGCAGGGAAGAAGTCGTGAGTGCGGGGACATGGATGGTGCACCACACAAGGTCAGCAGCCCTGCTGTTGGTGGAAGTAAATGAGACATGTTCAAGTCCTTTTAGGAAGTTTTGCAGTATTTGTTTGAAAAGGCCAGTATACACAGATCGTGGTATGAGAGAACGTCATACAATTGCTGGATTATTTGATAATTATTAGGGACATATTATTTGTATACACATTTATGAGTGATTCTATTTTGAATTCAGTCTGCCTTTCTGCTTGCACCTCGGCTCTTGCTTCCCTGCCTCTCCTTCCCCCCCTCAGCAACCACACCACTCCACCCACAGAGCCTTGCAGGAGAGGTGCAGAGTCCCAAGACTGGGGACAACACAATTATTCTCAAACTGGAAAATACCATTTTCAGTGAAACAAAGTCCCAGACCATAGTTGCTCTATTGCCTTCTGTGGGGCTTTCCTGCATAGAGTGGCTGAGATGGTCCTAAATACCTTCCATGACTCTGTACAAGGGTTATTTTCAATACTGATTGCTGGCTAAGGACATCAGACCTGCATGGGCTCTCTCCATTTTCTAGAACTCACATGAACAGGAGACGAGAATTACAAAGGTGTGCTTTCCACTCATCCTCTTCCATCATCTTTGCTCCACAATCTTCCCTAGGAAAATGTCTTTCCTCTGATCTAAGAAACCCTTTCTCTGAAATCCTGTCTTCACTTTAAATGTCTGCCACATATTATTTTCAACAACAATCTGAACAAGATGGCAACCTTTTGTACATATGTGTGTGTGTAGATTTTGTGTTATTTATTTGTATGTGGCATTAGAGATCTTCTTCAGAAATGGAGCTCTTGGGGCTTGTCTCTAAGAGTCCTTACTAGCAGCTTCTGATACACCTTTCCTGAAGGATGGTAAGAATCAAGTATTCACACATCAGTTTCTTCAAGAATTATTTTTGTGGTTTAAATAGATACAATATCTTAATCCATATTGATCTTCAAACAGGAAAAAAAAGTAATTGGCTCTGTTGAGGGAGTTAGTTTAAGCTGTACAAGCAAACGCTGCTCTTCAAATGGTAACAACTGTGCTGCATCCTACCACAAAATCCATTCAGGTGGAGACAAGGCTTTAGGCACAGGTTTTCCCATCTAGCTGAGGGGCTGAGAATGACCATATAGCTGGATTAAGGTGGTAGCTGAATGGCTTGTGTTTGGGGCTCGGGCTCTTTATCATGATCACTGGCTAGCAGGAGCAGAACTAGTATCAATGCAGTCTTGGGAGACAGTTTTAAACCTCTTTAGACCTTTCCATGTGGGCCACCACTGGAGTGCCTCTCAGTGGCACTGGATGTTTGCCAGAAGCGGTGCAAATTGCACTTGTGTTGGCTGAGCTGCTGTATCCATTATTCATCAAAGGGGTGTGGGGAGGACCTTCTCTGCAGTTGAGGCCAGGAGCTTGCTTTGACTCATGTCCTTGCTGTTTGGTGACAGGCCGCTGTGCCCGCTGTGGGGAGAATGTTGTTGGGGAAGGCACTGGCTGCACAGCCATGGATCAGGTCTTCCACGTGGAGTGCTTCACCTGCATTATGTGCAAGAACAAGCTGAGGGGACAGCCTTTCTATGCAGTGGAGAAGAAAGCCTACTGTGAACCCTGCTATATTGTAAGTACTCATCCTTATTTTAACCCTGATTTTAATGCACAGACATTGGAAATGTTGATTTCTTTCATTGCTGTAGAGTTTCCTTACAGTTAAAACCTGACATCCCTATGGCAGTACTGTGGGCACCAGTTTTTCCATGGTCTGTGGAAGGACTCTGATCTTTTCAGCTTCCTGGGTGAATTTTATTTCCTGGTCTAAACTATCTCTGAAATGAAGTGGCCACAGCAGAAGAAAGAGGGACTTTTTGTGATGATTTTAGCTGTGTAAGGAGCAGACTATGCAGTGATTTTTAGGTAGTTGTTGTCAGAATCTTTTTGTGTTGAGAAGCCTGATGCCAAAATACTCACAAAATACGGTGCACACTTAAGGTGGTGGGATGCAAGATAACACTAAAAGTTCTAAAATCAAGACTTTTGCATTGCTTGTTGGAAGCCCTACTGAACTAGGGGTCTTTGGATTGGCTATCTTTTGAAGCTTGCCTTACCCTAAAATTTCATTTCATGCCTCCAACAAGCTTTTAAAGCAAACACCGGTTGTCTGAGGAGCTGCAGCCTTTTAAGAGGCCTCTATAAGAGCTAGCTGGAACCCTTTGCACGGTTGCAAATTAAAGAAACATCGCATAACGTGCCTGAGGCCTTACCTTAAAGCATTGATAGGCCCTTCTCTAAACCTCCAATTCAGAGGGGTATTTTTATAAACACTGAACCTGAGACCATTCCAGAATTGAATTTGTGCTTCTGAAAGTAAAAATCAATGCTTTGCCTGACTTTTCTGGCATTCCAATAATAATTAAAACAATAACATGTATTTCTGAAAATGCCACCAATATCCCATTATTCCTTCTGTTTCTGCAGAGCCTTTGCAGTGGGATTATTGTTGCAATATTGAATATAAAAGGGGAAGATTCAGTCTTGTTTACAACGGCAGTGACCATAGGCCTTGTTAATTGGCTTTTAAAAACTAAATGATCTTTTGATGGGATATGTGCCTATCAAACCATTTACATTTTTGTTTGCACTAAAATGATTGCACCATAAAAAATTTAAGGTTAATTTCATGGTAAGTTTGACCATGTGCAAAGTACTGCAGACTTTAGGAAGGTGCATTCATAATATGACTGGAACAACTTTATGTAACGGGAATTAAACATTTCATTGACTTCATGCTGGAACTGACTTCATCTGCTTGCAGATTGATACTTTCTTTTCCTCTTTTTTTTAAGTCAAGCACACATTCTTCACCACTCATCTGCTTTAGTTTGGGAAAACATCTGCATTAGCCACTGTAGTAATGGTTTAAGATTATTTAATCCTATTACTTATACACTTCATTAGCCTGAGTGAATTGTTGGCAAGGGTTCAGTAAACTTCATACATTGGGAGATAAAAGGATAAAAAAGGAAAGGGAGAAGGATTCTGTTCCTCGTTTTCTTTCAAATTTATCTTCTATCTATTTAAGGGATAAAGAAACAATAATTGCCTGGTTGCATCTGCGTTTGTATGTTCTGTGATACAGCTTTGCAGCTCTGAGTACAGAGGAAAGAGTAAACGTTTAATAGCTTGCTTTTATATAACCAGACGGGGCCTTTAAATGTTTATCCATGCAGTCCACAAAAACCTGGTTATGGCCTTAACTCAAAACATGTCTGGATCCATCTGCTGCTGCACGTGCAGGTGAAAGGATGGCGATGCTGATACAGCGCTACGTACGTGTAGCTGGACAGCTGGTACTCTGAGTGGAAATGGAAAGCAGGAATCTGGCAATCTGATACAGCAAAGGGGGGGAAAATCCACGCAAGCACACAGTAAACTCTTAAATGTGGAAGAAACAAACGTTGGGAGCCTAAGTCTCAAAACTCTTCTGAAAGTTCAGGACTCTGCTGTGCCAAAAGCCAAATCTAGAAGGAATCTAGGCACCTGCCATGCTGTTGGCTTTAGGCCTGAGGAATTTGTGTCATAGAGCATATGTCTTATTGATTTTTCCATGAAATGAGGTCTGCATTGGCTTCAGCAGGGTGATGAGTGCCTAAGTGCACCAAGGGCCTGAGCTAGGCTTGCAAGTTGTTCTTCCAAATGGATTTGGGGCCCTGAAGTTGCTGAGGCACAATTTGAATGCTTCTGCCTTTAGATATGTGATGTGGTCCTACTGAAGTCAATGAGAGTTAATGATCTGCTTAAAATCTAGCCAGTGGTTAAGGTTTTTGCTGAATTGTGGCCTCCTGAATTTTTTTGAGCTTCCCCAAGACCCACTATCAGAAAATAACTTGGATGCTTGGAGCCTAGTTCTGTAGGAAATCAATGGGACTGCAGAACCAGAGCTGGTTTCCTGTGGACCTGAATTCCCATGAAAGGTGGAACCTGTGTGACTAGCCCAAGGTTGCAGAGCTAATCCATGGCTCTGCCCAGCTGAGATGACAGGATTCTCAGATGGTATAAATCCGAGTAATTCAATGAAGCATGTTTACTGGTCTACCTAACTGATACTGATTTTGAGCACACCTCTGTTTCCCCAAGTCCAAAACTCTTGACCTGTTATGCAAGCCATTAGGCCAAGCTGCTTCCTTTCTATAAAGAAAATTATCTATAATATTTGCCTGGTCGTAATACATAAATTCATGAGTTCTTTGATTTTTTTTTTTTTTTTTTTTAAATAATTCCCTTTTGTGATTTGTGGCCTTACACGCATAAAAACTATGCACAAAAATAAAAATACAGTTTTCAACAGTTAGAATTGGCTAATCTTCTCAGTTTATTATGTGACTCTCCTTAGTTGTGGTGGAGTGAAGCCATAATTAAGATTACTGTGAAGAGCTGTATTTAATTACTGGTTAGTCAATACCAAGCCTGAATAGCCTGCAGAAGGGTTGTTTTTTTGGGTTTGTTTCTGATTCTAGCTATCAGTGACCCAGTTAAGATTGAATTCCCCAAAAGTCTGAATTAACATCTAAGGAGATCACTTGCCTATTTCAAAAAAAAAAAAAAATCCTAATGGCAATTTGAGTACCAGAGTTAATTTTTTGCTCACAAATCCCCTCACTCAAAAGCCAGTCACTATCATTTCCTGTTACATCTTATGAATGTGGTGAGTTCTGTTGCCAATGTGTGTGCTGGTTTTGTTCTACATCCAAGGATTCTTTCATTATTGATGTTATTTCTAAAAGAGTACCAGTCTTCTCCATTAAGACATGCTGAACTAAAAGCAACTGTAAAAAATAAAGTGTTAATAGGAGACAGATGTCTCCTGGTCATTACGACAGTCAAGTAACATCTGAAATACCATGATAAGGTTTCCAGTGTAACCAGCATACTGCTGTACACGTGATGAACGCTGGGTCTGCAGTATGTTATCAGTATATTCTTCCCCTCCCTAACAGAGCAAATTACTGACAAAACACATTTGGTTCACTTCCTCTAAGTAGCTGAAGAGATTTTAGCACTGGACTTGGTGCAGAAAAAAGGTTAAGAGTAATATCAGTGGAACTGTTGTTATAAAAGATTGAAGAGCAAGATGTTAAAGCAGTGCCAGCTGTCTGCTTTCCAAATACTCTATTATCATAAGGACTGAACACAAGGTTAACCAGGCACACCGGTCTGGCAAGAGTGATCTTGCTGTTTTGTGAATGGGATGTTCTTTGATGTACTGATGACTTTCTGTGGGATGTGGAAATTTGCCTCCGTTCTTTATCCCCTTTCCTGGACGTCTGGTGGTTGGCAATTGGACATAAACTCTCTGAGGCTGAGAGGTGCTGAGCACCTGCAGTTAATGCAGAAAGCATTGAGATCCTCATATGCTCCTGGCTTCTGAGGGTTTCTTCTGGCAGGCCCAAACCAATGTGACCCACCACTGAGCCCTGACAGAGGGACTATGGTGCAATGGGGGAAGGGGACCAGAAAGCAGAAGTAACTAACCAAGCAAAGCAGAAATAGCCCAGATCAGATAAAAGAGAGTTCAGAGAAGTGGTGGGCTAGAAATGAAGAGCAGTTGAAGGAGAGGAAAGAAACTGTGTCACATCTGTCTAGCTAGAAGTGGGGGAAGGTGGTGGGTGAGCTCTGCAGTGCCCTATGGAGACCCAGGGATCAAGGTTTCCCATTTCTACTGCACGCGGTGAAATATTGAGAACATGACCTTAAACCCTACCAAAAAGATCTCTTACAAGGATTTTGCAGGGTGAGGTTCATCTTTCCATAGTGTTAAAGCTGTGGAAGTGCTTGAAGGAGGAAGAACTGTGTGTGGAAGTCATGCCCTGATCACTGCTGTTCCCCAGCCTTAGATTATGGACCACAGCGCTCCACTTCTATTCTGTTATGGTTTGTTTTGTGAGCAAAAGAAACATCTTCAATGTTTCTCTCTCTTACTGGCTTCTATCTTCCTGGTCTATCAGAGACTGTACTTCAGCA